CCACACAGCACAGAGACCAGGTCAGGCCGGGCTCTGCAGCTGCGCTGCCCCAGGAGCTCACAGCAAGAGGGACGGCTGAGGTCTCAAGGTTGATGCTGCTGTATAGGCAAAATGCAACATTTAACAGAGGCAGCATTGTTTATACCAGACAGAGTAATGATTCCCCCCACACTTAAGGAGTAGAAAACACACAGGGTCTACACAATAGCATAATTTTCCCGTCCGAAACAGAGCACACATATCCCACGGGAGCCTCAAAACGGTGAGTAATGGGGACTGGTTGTTTCAGGGCTGCACTGTCCTCTGGGTTTCTGTGCCTTGGGGAGAGCCAACAGCTTCAGGGGGCACCTACACTGAACACTGTCCCAACATTTTCCACAGGAGTTCATCCTGGACGATATCTCGCTGCTGAGGGTGACCTGGGAAGCAAAGGAGGGTCTTCTACTGCAATGCAGCTTCCACCCTGGCCCATATGCAGCTTGCCTGTGTGCAGCAATGGTCCCCCCGCCCCTCGCGGCACAGTGGCGCGGACACGTTAGCCTGGCTGGGACAAGGACTATGGTGGCTCTCCCTATAAACCTGCGCAAGCGCATTGCACACGTTCTGGATGAGACATTCGAAGAGATTACCAAGGCTGATTACCGCGATGTGATAAACCACATCAATGCACTATACTGCATCTAGGCATGCATGCCTAACCCTCCTCTCCCAAAGAGTCCGCACCGAAAAAATTCCTTCCCGGAAAAAAAAAAAAACGCTTACTGGGAACCTGCTCTTCTGTTTGTCCTCCACCAAGTACCATCCTCCTGGCTTGAGAAGAGCTCCTGGCTGCATGGCTCCAGGGATTCTGGGGTGTCTCCATCCAGCCCACCACCATCACTCCCGTTTTCCTCCTCCTCCTCGTCCTTCCCCCCCCCCCACCCAGCTCTGAAGTGTCCATGGTGGTGCTCGGAGTGGAGGTGGGGTTAACCCCAAGTATCGCATCCAGCTCCTTGTAGAATCTGCAGGTTGCAGGGGAAGCACCCGAGCGGCCGTTTGCATCGCGGGCTTTGCAGTAGGCACTCCGCAGCTCCTTGATTTTAATCCTGCACTGCAGGACATCCCGGTAATGGCCCCTTTCCATCATGTCCTTTGATACCTTCCCGAAGGTATCGTAATTCCTACGGCTGGAGTGCAGCTGGGACTGGACAGCTTCCTCCCCCAAATTCCTCCCCCCATTGCTCCATGCTGGGGCTCGCTTGGCGCGTGGAGGCATGGTCACCTGGAAAGATTCGCTGATAGCACTCAACACCACACCGGGCTGAGCAAACAGGAAGGGGATTTTTAAAATTCCCAGGGAATGTAAAGGGCGGGTCACATGGTTGGTTACTTGAGGCCAGGGCAGTAGAGTTTGAACTGATGACCAGAGTGGCTAGAACAGGCATTGTGGGATACTGCCGAATAATTCTGGAGGCCAGTCACAGCGCATTGGGCGGCCACACCGGCTCCGCAGCAGCAGCGCTGCACTCGCTATTCCTCTCGGGGAGGTGGAGTACATGCAGCGCTGCAACCACGGAGATATAGCACTGTAAGGGCCCTGCCAGTGTGGACGGGGAGTGAGTTATAGCGCTGGGGGCGGCTTTACAGCCCTGCAACTTGCAAGTGTAGCCAAGGCCTGACACTCGCGCTTCGCGGCGCTTCGCGGCAGGGCTGTGAATTCTCAAGTTTGGCCGAGGGGAGTAGCTTGCAGTGCTGCAGGTGCTGATCACACTGGCGCTTTACAGCGCTGCGCTGGGGGGGGGGCGTTTTCCCACCCCTGAGCTCAGCAAGTTGCAGCGCTGTGCAGCGCCAGTGTAGCCAAGGTCTTGTTGGTGCAGGGAGAGGAGGACGAAGGAGACAGACCAGCCTGTCCCGGCTGAGTGTGTTTGCTGCCATGGGCTCCTTGCTGTGTGTAGCTCCGGAGCGCCACCTGCTGGGGGCTTCTTTTTAAATTAACACCGGGGGAGGTTTGTGTCTGAGCTCAGATTCACTTCCCCTCACTGTGTCCCTCGCGCAGTAATACACGGCGGTGTCCTCCGCTCTCAGGCTGGTCATGTGTAGGTAGAAATTGGAGCTGTCCTTGGAGGCTGTGAATCGCCCCTGGATGGTCGGGGAGTAGCTGTTGCTAGACGATGAATAATAGTAGATCAGCCACTCCAGCCCCTTTCCCGGAGCCTGTCGGATCCAGTACATGCTAGTGCTGCTGAGAGCAAAGCCGCTCACGGCACAGGTCAGTTTAGTGGATTCCCCGGGTTTCTTAATCTCCGGGCTGGACTGGGTCAGAACCACCTGTGCCCAGGCCCCTGGAGAGAAACAAAGCGGTTGTTACAAGAAATGTTTAAAAACAGCAGATTAGAGACAGACAGATACACTAGAGAGAAGGAGACAGACCCGTATGTAGAGATTAATCTAAACAATCTCTAGTAAAACTCCCCAGACCTCAATGTCTTCCCACGCAGGATGAATTGTACAGAGGATTTTCTAAAGCACTCACATTCTTTAGGAGCACGAGCACTATTGACTTTCCTAGATAAGTGATCTAGGAACCTCTAGGAACTTTAGGAAAAACCCCTCAGCCCATGAACTGCAGAGCTACCTAAAATCGACTGGTGAAGAGACAAACAAACAAATAAACCCACGTGAGAGTCCAAGCAGGTAAATGCAGATTCTCAGCAGATCCAGCATGGTGATGGGATGGGAGCTCTGAGACCCGGGTGTCTGGGGTCATAGCCCTGCCCTGTGCTCTGAGAACAACTGATCCTTGCACAGACACACCC